GAGAAGGGCTTTTTTTTTAGCCAGCGTATGGGCTACAGGGAGGCAGGACACAATTAGGTGTGGGAGGGGAAGCGTGCAAGAAAAAAACCTGAGCCCTTGTCTTCTGTTTTCCAGTGGGACCCAGACAGAGCAAGTGGTTTGATTTGCAATACAGGCTTCCAAAATCCTGCTAAAGTGGTTTGAAATGGCTCCTGCCAGCTAACACCTATGTCTCCCAGCCCTCACTCAGGAGCAGCTCCTGGGCCCCTCATTACCTTTGCAGACCTGGCAGGCGGTCGGCTAGGGGAGAAGAGCACAATAGCTCTGGGCAGGTCACCAAGCCGCAGTAAATCTGGCCTTCCTAGGAGGGCAGGAGATAAAAAAAACATTGTCAGCATTACCAAGGTCCAGACAGGGCTGTATGTCCTCCATGTTGGGGTGCCAGAACTGCAAATTGCAGATCTAGCATAAATCATAAGCACCCCAATAGTCCAACCTCAAATATCACCAGTCATCTAGCAACTGATGAAAGCTGAAAATCTGCCCCTGCTGTGCTCTCCATCCTGCAGGGTATAGCATGGTGGATGGTGTCCTCTCCTAGCATGGCTGGTTCACCGATTGCCAGTCCACAGGCTCATTCATGAGTGGAGTGGTCTTCCCCAAAAAGAGGGAGGCGGTGCCTTGCTCTCAGGCATCATTAGTGCTACCAGGTCTGAAACAGCCACCACGCACCTGTAAATGCTGCATAACACCCCTCAATTCAAAGTGGCACACAAACCTTTCTCTGACATCTCCCATGACAAGGACCTAGAGGAGAGAGGTGGAAAGGGGAAGCGTGATGCTGAACCCAGACCTAGGTCCAGGCTGCAGCTATGCCCTCCCTCTTTGTTGGGTTGTTCCATAACACCAGAGTCAAGCACGCAAAGACACTGGGTCAAGAGCTGTGGATGAATGTTCAGATGTAGACCTTCTTCCACTGGCTTGGTAGTTAGTTTGGAAAACATCATTGCTGTAGTGATTCAAGCTGAAAACCATGGGCCAAGACCAGTCTTGACCTTCGTGCATCGCAGTCCCACTTCAATGGATTTGCACCCATTTGCTGCACGGCTACGTTTTTGCTGCTTTGCAGAAGGGTAGAGAAGGATGTTGAGCAGCCCAGCAGCAGCCAGACCTCAACAGCAAGGTCCTCTTCTCCATGCAGCAATTTTCTCTGGGGTACCCCTAAGCTCTTAGTCAACCCAAACCAAGATGTTAACCAAGGATTTCCTTGGAAAACCAAACCTCAGCAGCTTCTACCATCAGGAAGCCAAGCTGGTGTGCAGGGGATGTGAAGAGGAGGAAGAAAGTTTGGTAAATGAGAGGATGTGGTGGAGGTCACTGCAGACCAAACCCTGCTCTCTACTTCAGGGACCTCCATGGGGTCCAGACCTGCAAGAAGCAGGGTTTGGCCATGGAGCCTCTTCCTTCTTTCTCCTTCTGACCAGCAGCTCACGGCGAAGACCTGCCTCAGGCAGGAAAAAGCAAATGTCATAAAAAGCCAGATTTATCCTGGAGGCTCTGGTCTCAGGGTGGTTTTCAAAGAGGTTTAGACCAGCTGTTCATGCAGCTGTTCTAGCAGCTGACAACATCAGACACAGCCCAGCGAGACCCTGCCACTGCAAGGCTCCACAACCATCCTTTTATTTTCCCCTTTGTATCCAAGGCATTATCCTGCCGAATAAACAGAGCCTGAGTGAGAGCCAGTGCCTCCGAGAAGGACACATAGGTCTGCAGGCGCCTGGGGACGGTGGCAGATGGGGTGGGAAAGCAGGGCCAGGTGAGTACGTACAGTCGGGTTCGAGGGCTCCTTCCTGGCGTTTGTCCCCAGCCTGGTGGGCTGGCATTCAGTTGGGGTCCATCAGAGAGGAACCAGCCTCAAAACCATATAATTTCTACATCTAAGCTATTCCTCTTGCCACCTAGCTCCAAGCCACCTAGCTCTGAGGCATGGTCAAGCACCAAAGGCTCAGACCAGCTATTCTGGTATCACAGACACTTCACTATCAAGCATCAGTGGATGGTAACCACCATGTTCATGCTCTTGGCATGAGAGAGAGAGGTGGTTTGGGCCCTCTCACCCCTTTTTCTTTCCTGGCCAAGCTTAGTCAAATTATTTGCTACAAGCAAAGCACAGACCAGTGGAGCCTGGTCCCATCCAAGGGCTCTGCACAATGGACAGTGAAAGCCAAGTCTGCAACCCTCTTCTTTTTTATGGCAGAGACTGTAGCCGCTGCAAGCAGTTCCCTGCAGCATCCAACTCCAGCGTCGGCACTTTCTGTCCCCCTTCCTCACTCCCTCTCGATGAGAAGGAGCTGCTCCATTTATCTCCCAACACACAGTTCCTGGCACATGTGACCCCACGCTCCACACACCTTCCCCGTTGCCGCCGGCCAGGCTGCCTCGTGTCTCCCAAGCAACGCGTCAGGACTCAGGTTTTGACAGTTTTTAGCAGGATCCCAGCCTGTGGGAGAGGGCTGGGCAGAGCAGAGCCAAGCCATGTCTCAGGGCATTGCTGGAGGCTCATGGAGAAAGAACATCCCTCTGGTGCTGCCAGTGTGGGGTGGATGGACAATCCATCATGGGGATACACGCTGAGGACCACACAGCACCCTGGCCGCTGTCGCAGCCCTCAGGTAGGGCAACCAGGACCATCAAGGAAGGTGGGCATGCAATGGTCCTGCAAAGGTCATTGCAACTCGGTGTGAAAGGCAGATGCTTCCTGCAAATGCTTTTTGTAGACAGCCTGGAAAGCACATGCACATCTCCAGGGCACAGCTCCGCACCTGATGGCCTGGAGGGCTGGTGAACACACCGCAGGAGTTTCCAGATGAAATTGGCTCCTGGTGCAGCCCAGCCACCCAGGTGCTCAAGCACATCTCAGCCCTGGGTTCAACTTCCACTTAAATCCAAGCAAGGGAGATGAAGATCACCAGGCACCTGCCCATTGCATTCCCCTGACAGCCAGGCTCTGCTGCGAATGTCCCCATCTCTCTGCCGTCGTCTCCCGGCTGTGTCAGGGGTGAGCTCCAGCCATGCAGGGCAGGAGCTGGCTGCTGGAGGCACCACGAGAGCCAGGCACCCAGCAGCAGTTGGGAGCCACCAAATCATTTCTGGAGCTCAGCTCAGTCCCATCAGCTCGACACTGGGCTCAATGTACCAAGAACATCTGAAGCCCAAGAGCTGGCATCTGCATTGCCTTGCAGGCACGCTGAGCTCTCCCAGGTCCTCTGGCTACAAACTCCACCTGCTTTGCAGCAAGCACGTATGGGAAAAGGCTCCCAGTTGTTCTCTCTGCCAGCTGTCTACCATACAATGCCTCAGTGGGGCAGGTGGGATAGCTGGATGCTGCGGGGACAGCACTGGTCCTTGCAGCAGGCAAATGCACTTATTGGCGTGCTCAGTGGGGACAGGGCTGTCCCCCTGCGCACCCCAAGGAGCCCCAGCTCCTTCTGGGACACAGATTCCTTCTGGGTCCACCCAGAACTGGCCCGTGGGATCTCCAGTGAATAACCCACCCTTGGAGCAGCTTGTTTGTGCTGTTCCCACTAGGGAAGCAGATGCAGGTGAGTGGTTTGTGCTCCGACCCCAGGGGCCCAGTGAACATTTGCAGCACACCTTGCTCTGGGTCAAGGCCAGATAACACACCCAGGCAGAGGGGGAAGCAGCCAGCTCTGCAGTGGTCCTTAGTCACTGGGCAGGGAGGACCCAACACCATTTCAGAGGAAGTTCAGAGGGAGATCAATCTCCTGCACTGATAACCTGATCCTGACAATAAACCATCCCACCATGGACTGGTACCAGCCAATGGTCCTCATCAGGTTTTTGACCTGGTGGGACACTGCTGCGGTGCCGGAGCAGACCCCAAGCCCTCCCCGCCTCCCATGGGCTTGCAGGTAGCTTACGGAGCAGCTGCACTGCACACACTGATTCGGCTGGCGGCTGGGAAAGAGCTCGCTGGTGGTGAACATCTCGCCTTGCTGGTAGGTCGTCCCATTGTACTGGCAGGACTTGACGGGTGCCCGGAGGCCAGAAGGGGAATGTGGCTCTGGAAAAGAAGATGAGAAAGCAACAGGATGAGAGCCAGCCTTTGCCTGGCCCTGATGTAGCACAGATGCTCAGCAGATTCCCCACCAGCCCAACCCAAAAGGACAAGGAGACCTTTGCACACTGCAGTTATCACAAAGAAGTGGCCGGAGCATTGCATGGCCCGTGGAGATTTATGTGCCCAAAAGCGTTTAGAGAACGGCGCTGCCCTGACTGTACTGAGCTCAGCACAAAGGTAAAACTGGAAGTCTGACCTTCTGGGGTCGTGTCCTCCCTGTGCTAGAGCGCTGGCAAACCTAGTAAAAAAACATCGACTATTTGGGAAATTAGGAAAAAAAAAAAAAAGAAAAAAAAAGTATTTTTAATTTTTAGCTAATTACCCATGGGAGAAGCCCTTTTTATGTGACTCCGTCTGATGTTGGAGGTCATCACATCCAGGGGAGGGAAAAATTCAAGAATTTTGCTAAAAATCTACAAATTTTTTTTTTTCCTGTATCCAACACATTTTGCTGGCAAATGATCTGAATAAAGTGCCAGCTCCTGGTTTGTCACTGAACTGTGAACTGACATTTTGTCCCTACAAGGCTTCTTGGGATGGGGTGGTAGTTGAAGAAAGTGGTCTGGTAGACAGCCCTTTTCCATCAAAATGACATTTTGGGGGGGAAAAAGCAACACAAGCAGCCCAAGCTGCCGTTGCTGCCCTGACCCTGTGAGCACGTCCAGACCCAGCATTGCTGCGCTGCCCCAGGCATGAGCATTCAAGCGATTGCAGTTGAGGTAGGCCCTACAGAACCACAGCCACCTTGTCACCACCTCCCCGTGGGATGTCCACCCACCGAGACACCGTGGGCAGCACTGCTGGGGGTCGGTGACAGGGCTGGCGCATTGCAGAGCTGGGCACTGGATCCGGTAGCACCTGATGTTGGCGTTCTGGGGAAAGAGAGAGAGAAAGATGGTTTGTTCAGCTACATGTTCACCCCTGCAAGAGGATGAAGATGTTGGATGATGGCCCCATTATCACAATAGATTGTGCTGGCGTAGCTCACCCAGTCAAGAATGTCTCCATCCCTGGCTTGGACCCCACTGTCAGCCAGCTCATGTTCTCATCTCTGATCATCAAAGACCACCCATGGTCCCACAGCAGCCCTGAGCCACCTCCACCCACAGCCCACCAACGCTACCGAAACAGCTCCCTCACAAGGTCAACCCAACACTCCCAGCGGGACGTGGGGCTTTTTCAAAAGGAGAGAGGTTAATCCAACATCCCTACAGGACTGGAAAGGGCTTCTCTGGTCAAATTAGACACCAGAACCGATCTGCTTAAAAGCTGCCAAAGCGATGCCCCAATGCAGCAGCATCCCCACCACCTCCCGCGGCCCCTCGCAGGGGACATGCCTCGGAGCAGCTGCAGCGGATGCAGTACATCAGCCCCTGCGGCTCCAGGTAGGGGTGCCAACTCTCTCCCGGGCTGTACTTCTTGCCGTTGAAGTCACAGAACATATCCGGCCCTGAAAGTCAACCAGGAGAAGTACGTGAGAGAAAGGGACGGTCCTTGGGAGAGCTCTCCTCCGTCCATGATGAGAAGAACAAGGACAGCTCTGTACCTTCATGCTGTCCCCCATGAGTAGCTGATGGCCACATCCCATCCACCAGACCCCAGACTGAACACGTTCCCCAAAAAGCCTTTTTTTTTTTTCATGATTTGTTTTTTTTAGACTGGGACCCATCTGACCAAATGGCAACTTCTCTGAGCAAGCTGGACTCAAGCAAGGAACAGAATGGGCATTTTTGAGGCAAAAATTAGAGTTGTCTTTCTAAAATAGGTCAGTAGAAGTGCTCGTTGGAAGACAGACAAGTGATTTCAGGGTGATGCTATAGGACTGAATTTTCCCCAGGGAGACCAGAAAGGCTGGGAGTGGTGGGGAAGATGGGAGAGCCTGGATTTAGGAGACATTTTCACTGTTACCCGAAAAAAGAAGAAAAAAAAAAAGACATTCTGGGGTAGAAACACATTCTGAAGGAAAACCTTTTGCTCCTCCTAAGAGCTTCACCTCATTCTCTCAAGGACCCCTGGACAAGCGCTATCAGCACACAGACAGCCAAGCATCAGCCCTAAGGAGCCGGACCATGCTGGCTTGCCCCATCCCACCAGGCTCAGCCCCTTGGCTTTTCCAGGTGTCGTGGCACTAGTCTGGCTGGAGTGGGTTGAACCATGCTCTTCATTTATGGGGCTGTCCATGGGGACAGCAAGTCCACCTCATCCTCTTTTTTGTCCCGAAAAGCACAAAAGCATGTATTTGACTATTCCTCTGATCCTATCACCCCAAGAAGAGCCAGTTTCCACTCGTGCTTCTGAACTGGAGGTGTCTGTCCCAGAAACAATATAGCTCTGCTTACACAGGCATGGGTTTAACCTTGCCTTAACCTTAACAGCACAGTGAGAGAGATGAGATGGTGCCCAGCATGACTGGTGAAGGAGATCCCCTTTGGTGATCCACCCTCTCCCCAGATTTATTAGGTCCCTATCAGCCCCCTCCATCTCCAAGCCCTTGGTTACACACCAACCCTTTGGCAGGATGAGGCCAGCCTGCAGCAGGACCTGTGGGACAAACCATGGCCATAATCACCAACAACAACCACTGGGCTGTGGCCAGAAAGCCCAATTCAGTCATCCTTAATGTTCACATCAAAAAGTATCCTGCAGGACCAAGCTCCAACCCCAGTCAGACCTGCAGGAACCTGGACCCCGTAAATCCCACCACAGCCTGTCGGCTGCTCCCGCTCTCCCGTGGCATGTCCCCAGGCCCCGACCAGCTGGAGGGACCGGCTGGGGCTTAAGCTTTTTCACAAATAAGCACACGTCTGCCCGCGTGTGTTATTAGTGGTTTAAGTGCTTACAGCCCCACTAAAAACTGAAGGTGACTTAAAAGGTTATGTCATCGAGGGGATTTCAGGTAGTTTGGACGATTACGTTGCTCGAAGGCAGCAGAGACATTTATGCTCCCTGAAGCATTTATGGGTCTTTTAAAACCTTGCGGTGCCCTAGGGATGCAGGGAGAGGGGAGAGGGTTGTTTTCTGAGGCATGGTGCCCAGCTCCCGCAGCCTGCTGCATGAAGTCAGGCAAGCTAGTGGGTGCTGACCCCGCTATGCTGCTGGAGGGACTCCTTGACAAATAGCAGAGGGTCCCCAAAATGAGCTTGGTGGCATTCACCACCCCAAAGATGCTAAAAGCCATCCCATGCTCCGCTCTGTCACCTGAGGTAAAGCAGTGGTTTAGAGAGCCTGGCTGGCGTTGTCCCACCTTGCCAAAGCTGGAGGTGCCACCTGCTTAATGCGAGTGTTTCTCCCATCAACCAGGCAAAACTCATATGAATACGCCATGGTGGGCTGCTGTCCCTCCTCCAGCTTCTGACCATCCTCAGGATGAACCTAAGTGATGCTCTACCACGGCCGGACTCTGTGGCCACCAGGAAGAGCAGCCCTACAGGTCTACAATGATCCTTATGGGTCCCTTCCAACTCAAGCCCTACAGGTCTGCCAGTGGCCCTGAGCTCCTCATTGAGTTAATGGCTTCAAGTACATGATTCTCCAAGTTGCATCTTCAAAGGAGGTGGCCACAAGCTGTCCAGGCTGCCTAGTCCAAGCACAGCAGTGTGGGACCAGCATTGCATCTGCAGAGGTGGAGATCTGCAATAATTCTGGGGCGGATGCCATCAGAGGGACAGGCAGGAGGCTTTTCCCTACTCAGGTCTTTACACCATGCCCATAGCTTGCTCCAAACCTCTGACAAGTCAGCAAACCCATATTCCTGGCCATGCACAACACAAGCTTATGGCAAAATACGCAAGAATGGGGAGTGTGCGGCTGGAAACTGCAGAAACCTGAGAGAAAGGGGAGGGGGGAAGAAAAAAAAATAATCATTTTGCAAAAGGGTGAGAAAATGACTTCATTTTTCCCTGCTTGCAGCATCTTCATGAATTACGCTGAGGGAGAAGAAATTAAGTTGCCTTCGTGTGACGCGTCTCCGCTCAGCTTGCAGGCTCCCATGCCAGTTGGCTGCTTTGTTCAAACATTTAATCACTTGCCTTTCACAAGTGGAGCCCTGGTTTGGGTCCAGCCCTCGAAAGCAGCCTGATTCATGTCTGCAAAGGGCCCGCTGGTAAAATTAAAGCCGACTGGCAGCACTGGGCAGCAGCAGACACTTGTCCGCATCTCAGTAGCACTATGCCGCGTATTTGGCAAGAGGTGCCGGCACGTTTGGTTAAAAGCAAGCTGGGGATGGATGGAAGGAGGAGGCTTAAAAGCTGGAGGCTCTGGATCATTTTTTCCCATGCCAGGCTAATAATTTCATTTTCAGAGGTCAAACTTTGGATATCTTCCCAATTCACTCGAAGTGAAAAGCCATTTGTGGCAGTAAATTGCTCCCGTGCCATTCAGTCTCCCTATTTATTGCGTCTTCGGCAACAGCATGCTCACAAAAGTCACTTTGTTTTAGTTTTCGTTTTCCAGAGAAGGCTCCTGAGCTGTGGAGCATTTTCAAGGCTGCAGTACCAAAAATCCAGATGAAGCCATCACCTTGTTTTCCTTCCCGAGGACCATGCAGTCCCTGGGTGAAGAAGACAGCAGGCGAGGCTGGTCCATGCCACCTTGGAGACACAACCAGAGCTTGCTGATTGCAAGCCAGAAGCTCCAAGCTTGGAGGTGGCCCTATGGGACCTCGAAGCAGGAGCAGAGGTGGGAAGGGGCAAACACCTCCCATTGCAAACCCAAGAACAGGTCCCAACTAAACAGTTTCTTCCCAAATACAAGAAGCCCCTGATACAAGACCCTGCTCTTCAGTGTACAATTATGTGTTGTATGAGCCAGGAAAAACAGCTGAAGGATGTGGAAATGATTCCTCTGCTGCCCAGCAGCAAGTCATAGAATCATAGAATCATAGAATCATTTAGGTTGGAAAAGACCTTTAAGATCATCCAGTCCAACCATTAACCTCACACTACCAACTCCACCACTAAACCAATTCAGGGGAGAGTAATCATTTAACTCCATGTTTCCTGCCTTGGTGGCTGGATTATTTTTTAATGAAAGTAAAACTAGAATAGAATCATTAAGGTTGGAAAGGATCTCTAAGATCATCAGTCCAACCATCAACCCAACACCCCCATGCCCACTAAACCATGTCCCCAAGTGCCACGTCTACCCGTTTTTTGAACACCTCCAGGGATGGGGACTCCACCACCTCTCTGGGCAG